GAGCTAGGCTATCCGAGGAGCAGAGCACAGTTGAATCAGAAAAAGGAACTAGCCTTAAAGGGAGCTCAAGAAATTCGGAAATTAATTCACACTAACATAGGGAGGGAGGGGCGAGGCGCGGCCAACATCCCGACCGGCGAGATATGGGGAGATATGGGGAGATATGGCGAGGTGCGGCCAGCCTCCCGACCGGCGAGCCGGCGCGGTGAACTGGCTCGGGTCTCGGGGGAGAGCTCGGGCAATCTCGGGGAGATCTCGGGCAATCTCGGGGGGATCTCGACCGCGGAGCCGGCGAAGCCCATCCCGAGCTCGGGCAATCTCGGGGAGATCTCGGGCAATCTCGGGGGGATCTCGACCGCGGAGCCGGCGATCTCGGGCAATCTCGGGGAGATCTCGGGCAATCTCGGGGGGATCTCGACCGCGGAGCCGGCGAAGCCCATCCCGAGCTCGGGCAATCTCGGCGAGATCTCGGGCAATCTCGGCGAGATCTCGACCGCGGAGCCGGCGATCTCGGGCAATCTCGGGGAGATCTCGACCGCGGAGCCGGCGAAGCCCATCCCGCCGGTGGCGAAGGCGGCGGCGAGGTAGGCCGTGGCGTCGAGGCGGAGCTGGCCGAGGAAGTAGAAGCAGGGCGTGTAGAAGAGCGCCTTGAGCGCCGCGGTGAGCCCGAGCTTGACCAGCCAGGCGAGGTGCCTGAGTGAGGAGGAAGGAGTGGTGGCTCAGAGTGGGCTGCGCCGGTCCGCCGCGTGGCGAGCAAGGCGGCGTGCCAGGCGAGGACAGAGTAGGCGCGCGCTCCTGCGAGGGGAGACGTGGCGAGATGGGGGGAGGTGTGGCGAGATGTGGCGAGATGTGGGGAGACGTGGCGAGATGTGGCGAGATGTGGCGAGATGTGGGGAGATGTGGGGAGATGTGGGGAGATGTGGGGAGGTGTGGGGAGGTGTGGGGAGATGCGGGGAGATGTGGCGAGATGTAGGGAGATGTGGGGAGGTGTGGGGAGGTGTGGGGAGATGTGGGGAGATGTGTGGGGAGATGTGGGGAGATGCGGGGAGATGAGGGGGAGATGCATCGCAGAGGAGGCGTTCGCTCCG